CTGAAGCCCAAAAGTAGAGTCTGGATCCAATGTCACCAAGCTCTCTCTCTCTCTCTTCTCTCGTAGTCTGCTGATGTAGTGAAGTCAGATAATGAGAGGGTGAGAGGGAGATGGTGGACTGAGAAGAGAAAGAAGAAGAACTCTCTCTCTCTGTTACGAGCCAGGTACTAACCTATGAAGTTGGCGTTGTGCTGCAGGTACTTCGAAGACGAAGCTGGAGCAACGGCGCTGCAGGTAAGTACCTTTGGCCTCCGCCCAATCTCTCTCTCTCTCTAGTGCTATCCTAGCTATGGCGCCCAGCGCCAGAGACTACAGCTACCTCATGCGCCCAGGGCTGAAGACTAAGACTAACGCTACTACTACTCCTGCAACGCTCCCTCCAGAGTGCTGCTGCCGAATCCTGAAGACTACTGCCTCCTGCCTCCCCGTGAAGTGCATGGGAAGTCCCTATGTACTACCGAGGCCTGCCTCCTGACTGCCTGAAGGGCGAGCCAGGCCGAGGAGGCTGCTCTTGCCAATGCTGAAGTGTGCCAGGGGCTGGCGCTGCAGCATCTGCTGAGGCTGGCGTGGGAACAGGCTAAGAATAGCCTGTTCTCGAAACCCTGGTTCGGTGCCTGAGTTTCAGGGCCGGTCGTTCTGATGAACGACCGAAAATGGCCCTTCGTTTCAGGCAAAAAAGGCTATTGCCATTTTTAGTCTGAAACGACATAGGGTCTGTAGGCCCCAGTTTTTCAGGCTTCCAGGCTGAACAGACACGGAGCCTGTAGGCCCTGGTTTTCAGGCTTTTAGCCTAAATTTCAGGCTTTCAGCCTGAGGGACGCAGGGCCTGGAAAATGGCCCTCGTGTGCAGGCGCAGCATGTCATAGCGTCAGATAAGGATGAGCAAATGAAGAGGGATGACGAGGTGGAAGAGGACGAGGAAGAGGTCATTTTTCTGTTTGGAGGAGAGGATGATGATGCAGAAAGGGTACGAGGCACAACGTAAAGGGAAAACTGGAGGAGGGAGTGGAGGAGGAGCAGGAAGAGCTTGAGGGTGGATTATTGTTTCTTCCCGCTGTAAGGCTGAGGAGGTTTGTGCAACGTCTAAAGGATAAGATGCAAGAGTTTTATCTTTCTGTTTTAGGAGCAGAAGACGTGAACTGGGATCTGCTGGGATTGCGGCTCCCATATTGGGGAGACACACACACACACACACACACACACACACACAGAGAGAGAGAGAGAGAGAGAGAGAGAGAGAGAGAGAGCTGTCTCTTATACACATCTAGATGTGTATAAGAGACAGGCCTGAAAGAGAGAGAGAGATGGTGGAGATAGAAGGCTGGTCAAACATGACAGTGACAACACTCAGCACAGTGCATACAAAATACTCCAAGACTCAGAATGAGGAATGCCTGAAAGAAACGGACTGTAGCTGGGGTATACACCCAGTGGACTGATTGGTGCTCATTTCTTCCTCCCTGTGAAACATCACGGAGCACGTGGTCGACGCTCAAGTTTTTGAGCGTCGCTCAATCCTGCACTCAAAGCGCCTTGAGCGGGTTTGAGCGGGCGGGGGGGGGGGATTTCTTTTTCTCGGGTAAAAAGTAGGCAAAAAACAAAAAAGACAAATACAGGGTTGTAGATCTTTTTGAGATCTACAACCCCATTTTTTATTTTATTTTTTGAAATTTTGGCATATTAAAAAAAAAACACAAAGAACAAAAAAAAAAGAAGAAGATGAAATGCTAGGGTACCAGAGTGGCCTGTGTCCACTGGCCCGGCCGAGCCAAAATAAAATAATTTTTTTTTTTATTTTTATTTTTTTATTTTTATTTTTTATTTTAAAATTGGCAAAGAATTTTGATGTGACCCAGAGGCAAAAGTTGCTCTCTCTCCGATCTCCTCAACCACGCCATTCACCTGGACAAATTCCTCACCCCGTACAAGTACGCACTCACATCCGCCCCACCCCGCCCACGATTCTTTCATAATATCACCGAAGAAATCTCTCTCTGCCTCCTTGGACGAGTTCTCTGCCCCCGATCCCGACATCCTCTCTGATCCACTAGACACCACATCACTCTCCTCTGACAAACTCTCCGCCATTCACCTTATGCGAATGGAAAAGAGAGAACGCTCCAACCATCCTCCCATGAACACCCACCCAACCCGTCTCACGAAACTCACGTCGGAGGAGCGAACCTTCCTCCAATCAAATAGTGGTTGTTTCCGGTGCCGACAGTTAGGACATCAACAAACAAACTGTCCAAAGGCCGAACAGTTCACATGTCAGGCACCCAGGTCCGCGGCCCCCTGACCCCCCGCTTCCGCATCCGCCACTCCCGGTCCCTCCCCCACATGAACATCGTCCCCAGGATCACCATGAACCTGTCCCGACATTGATGATTAGTCTGCCGGCCATCCCATTGGTGACAACCTCCACCCCACCAGTGGCCCATTTGGGATCGACAATACGTCTGCCTCCCCCCTCTCCGGTGCCGCACATCCCACCGGACGACCCCCAGGCGTCGCAACCCTCGTCGCCTGACGCCCCCCTCACCGCCACATGTTCCGCAACCCTCCTTCCGAATTTATCCTCTGCCACCTTCTCTGATGTTGTTGAGGAACAAGCCCGACTTGATTGGCTTGTCCGATTAGGCAATGAACAATGCCACCATGACTCGTATCCAACTCCTCCCATAGCTTCACCACCGCTACACCCAAGGCTACCTCTCTTGCCCGGATTTCTCAACAATGTACAACGAACTTCGTGATCTCGAGTCAGTCCCTGACTACTCCCTTCACGACCAATATCTTTACATTGACACCAAAGGCACTCGCCGGCTTTGCATCCCCGACGCATGTGGCCTCTGTACCCAGCTCTTGGCCGAGCATCTTGACGCCAAGACTGCGGGACACCTCGGGTTCCAGAAAACCTTCGACACCATCTCTCGTTACTTCTATTAGCCTTCCCTACCCGTCGACCTCAAAGCCTACATTCGCTCATGCCCCACATGTCAAGTCGTCAACCCCCCAAACCGCGCTAAGTCCGGCAAGCTACAATCATTGTCGATACCCACCCACAGGTGGCAGTCCATTTCCATGGACTTTGTTTGCGGTCTCCCCAAGACCGACCTCGAACATGATTGCATCTATGTCATTGTTTGTTGCTTGACTAAACGCGCCCACTTCATCCCTTGCACCACATCGCACAACGCCAAGGATGTCACCATTCTCTTCTTCGACCATGTCGCACGCCACCACGGTCTTCCCGAGAACATCATCAACGACCGTGACCCTTGCTTTCTTTCACAATTCTGGAAACAACTCTTTAAAGCATACGGAACCACACTCACGTATAACACTGCATTCCACCCACAGACCGATGGACAAACTGAGAAGATGAATGATACTCTCCAAAGAATCCTGCGAAAGTATTGTCATCCACATCAACACGATTGGGATCAGTTGCTCACCGCCACCGAGATCGCCTACAACAATGTTGTTTGTCCTTCCATTGGCATGTCTCCATTCTACCTCGAGCTTGGCTATCATCCGCACTTGCCCTCCGACTTCCTGCTCCCATCGCAACTCAACCCCTCCACCCCTTGCCCTTCTCTCAATGAATGGGTAGCAACAATGAGCAGACTCCTCAGAGAAGCTACCGAAGCCCTTGAAAGAACACAAGAACAACAAG